CGTCAGCGCCAGTGCCTGCACCCAGCGAGCCCCACCGAGTTCGGGAGGCCGTGGCGTCGGGGACCACCCTGTCCCCCACCCACCCCCGGGTCCCCTCGGGCCACTGGAGCGAGCTGGCCAGGTCAGCGCCCAGATCGAACCTGGACAATCCTCTTCGCGCCTGGCACCCCTCGGTTCCCAGCCTCTGGCTATTGGGGCCCCCGCGCTGGTTGCCACCTACACGTTGGGGACTCCAAGCAGTGGAAGTCCGAGAGTCAGGCGACTCCTCGCCTCCAGCCAGCTGCCCAAGTTGAGACAGCCAGGCCCCCTGAGGAGGAGAGGAGGGCACGCTAGGATCTGAGTGCCACCAGGAGGGAGAGGAAAACTGACCGCAGCGGCTGCCACCTCCCACCCCCCACCCCCACACGCAGGCCCCTCCCCTTAGGGCTGGTCCCTCTGGTCCACAAACTGGGCATGGAGAGCCAGCCACTCCAAAGGGCCTATCCCTGGCAAATGGGGGATGGAGCTGCAGTGAGTGCTGAAGAGTGATGAGTGGGAATGAAGAGTCATCGCCTGGGGCACACTGGTGACAAAGCCCAGGAAAGGTCCCCAGGGAAGCAAAGTAGACTGAAAACTGCTCAGAAATCTTTGTGGCGGAGTGGAATGGGAGAGGAGAGGAAGGCAGAGCAGAGTAGGAGGTCCGAGAGACGCTTGGTCAGATCTCAAACTCAGGGAAACCTTTTCCAAGTGAACCTTTTCTGAGAGGGTTTCTTTTTGGGGGTGCATGGATCCCCAGAAGCCCGTGCTTTCTTGGGGGACTGGCGTGCATGCCAATAGGACTGAACGGGTCATGGTCCCCGGAGCTGTCCATTAATCTGACCACGGACTACAGCCTGGTCTTGGAGACATGGCAGAAAATCCGTTTTCCTTGTCCCACCCCACCCCACCCGCTCCTTAATTTGGTTTCGTTAATGGCATTAAACCAAGCGAAGAAATCCTGTAGATGGATTAGCCCTACAGAATCCCAGGCGGTAACTCAATTATGAGAGGCTGCAGCGACCATCCAGACCCAGCCAGTAGGCTGCCCCTGACGCCAACAGGGGTCCAAAGGTCCACAACCCTCCAACTCCATTTGCAGCCTCCATCCTAGATCTTGGAAGAACTCTGGTCCTGTTTTTCTTGTCATTCGCATCTTGTGATCTGGACATTGGTGATACAACGCATTTATTATCCACGACAAAGTTAGACTATTAATTAATCTCAGTACTCGGAGGAGGTTGGGACTCCTCATCATATGACCTGAATCCAAAGCAGGTAGAGACTTGGGTGGGTTACACTGATAGGGCAGAGAGCCAGGGTGTAAAGAGTCCTTAGATAGTTCACAGCCAATAATAGTCCCCATCGATTTAACGCCTATCCTATGCCAAGCAGCCGCGCTAAATGCTTTACATCATTACCCTATTTCATCTTCACAACAGTCGAAGGAAGTGTTGGTAATGCTGTGATGATCATGTTACAAATGAGGAAATTGAGGACCAGAGAGGTTCGGTAACTTGCCTAGAGGTCACACAGCTGGCAGGTGGTGGAGCTAGGATCAACAAAACGAAAAATAGGGGAGCCAAAAGGGGCAATCAAGCAAGCCTTCAGGTCAATCACTATTATCCTGCAGGGCCTCTCAACATACCTGCCAGCCTCTTTATAACGAGGGCAGGGGCACATTTTCATTGTTTTTCATCTATTCCTGCCCATAATGACCCTGTGCGTATTGCCCAGTGCTGCACCTTCCTCACAGCTATTCCTATGCCGGAGCCCACGGTTTTAGCCACTGATCAATCTACCCCTGCATATTTACCTGTCCCTCAGACTTTTCAAGCTCCCGTCACTGAAAACACACTCCCACACTCCCATGTCATTAGTTTTATCTCCATTCTCACAATAAGCAACAAGTCCTTCTGGGGAAAGCTGTCCTTCTGTTTGCAGCTGTGAAATAAATGTGGTGCTTGTGTCAATCCGGGCACCTCAGATTTCCTACCACATTCATATTTTCAGGAAATGTCCCTGGACAGAGAAGACCCTGCTCCCCACACCCTTTTGCCAATAGCGCATTCTGTAAGGGCAACTTCCACTGGAAGGCAACTAACACCCTATTTCTCCAAGGGCTGCCATCGCTAACGCATGGCTAAATCTAAGCGACTTCATATGGCTGAAACAAATGTAAACGATCTACTTCAGGGTCCGATTCTAGAGTCAGTCTATCCAGGAACGCAAGCTGGGGAAAGTATCTGCATTTCTTCCCCAAAACCATTCTGTAAAATAAATAATCAGAAGAGACAGGAAATCGACAACCACACTTCAGAAAAATATAGTGATGTGTCCATATGGAGGCAAATCAACAACATTGTAAAGGCGTCCATGCCAGAGACCACTGATCGTCAGTATCCAAATACCAGGACAAACAACCTCCGCTAAAGAAAGTTTCTGCAGACCCTGGGAGGGAGGTCGCTGGCAAGAAGGAGTCGGTCCTTCTTTGAAGTCCCCTGAGCTTTCCATAAGAGCAGAATGTTGTCAGTGTTGGCTCAAAATAAGGCGTGCCATGATGTTCAGCACCCAAGCTGCCTGGTCATACATGCTGGAATAGGATCTGGCATCTGTAGGAGAGATGTCAGGGATGGTCTTTTCTCCATCATCCAAGCAAACCACTCAATGGGGCTCTGAGCTGGGTATAGCGCCGGCCCAGCTCCCCCACTCTCTGTGACGAACATGCCTTCATTTTTCAACCTAACAATTTGCAGGGTTTAGTCATTTCCCTTCTTTCTGCCTGACGACTGGGGTACAGTGTGTCTCATCCTGTCTCTGCCCTGCCTATGGGAGAGGATGCCACATCCCCAATAAGACCCTCAATGAGATGGGTTGACACAGTGGCTGCAACGTAGGCGCAAACATAGCAACGATTGTGCAGATGGCACAGAACCCAGTAGTGTTTCCTTCTGTTGTCCAGCTAGGGCAGTGGTTTTCAACCTTCCTCATGCCGCAACCCTTTAATACAGTTCTTCATGTTGTGGTG